GACACCCCAAGCGACTGCAGCGGTCTGCAGTGTCTGCTCTTGTGAGTTGCTGAGTGAAGGGAATTCCGAAGCAACAATGTCAAGGTACTTTTTTACCTGTGTTTTTTGTTTGTCGCTGATGCCTTTGATGGCACCAAACCATCTGGTGATGCCGGATTCGGAGTGAACGCCAGTGAAATGATCTTGAAACCAAACACTGGCTTTTGTAGGCTGCTGAAAGATGCGCTGGGGATCCATCTTGGGATCGAGGGGTGCCGCCTTCGTTGGTGTAAGAGTTGACTGCTTCTGTCGCTTGGCGCCCAGAGTGGAGCGTCCCGGAAAGTGCATACCTGTGGTGGATGACGATGCTGGGGAAGCATGTAACGGGTTGTTGTCTTGTTCTGCAGCGGTTGTGGTGAAAGGGGAGAGGCCATCAGTGGTAGGCCTGGTGTCGGTGTGTGTAGAGTCATCGATGGTAGCACGTTTTTGTCCACGAGTGGTTGTGGTGGGGGAAATCTCAATTGTGGAAAGTGAGAGAGGTGGTGGAGAGGGCGTGTTGATGGGAGTGCTGGGTGCGGTGGTTCGTTTTGGTTTCTTTGGTGCTGGTGTGCTGGGTGCCTCATTGTGTGCAGCCGGAGCACGGAGAGTTTCAATTGTCTCCAGTGCTGTGGAAAGTCGTGCTTCCAGGTCGCTGATGCGATGTGCCGCCATAGTGTCTGCCTCTGTCGGCTGCGAAGGTTGAAGTGGGAGATGAGGTTGTGATTTGCTGGATTGTAGTGGTGTTGGAGATTCGGTGGGTTGCGATTGTGTGTTGTCTGTGTCAGATTTGACATCTTGCTTGTCCTTTTTGTTGCCATCATTGTACTGGTCCTGCAGCTCTTGCAGGTACAACACCAATTCCTTGATGAGGTGTGACATTGCTGGTCGTTTTGCGAGTGTGAGCTTTTCTTGCCAGCAGAATGCGGTGGCCGCTTGGTCCAGATCAATTCTCCTTGCTCGGAGTTGACCCATAAGTTCAGTGGTAAAGACGGCTTCGCTGATGTGTTTGCTGCATGTGAGATGGATGTCGAAGCCGTGTGCGGCGTACCGTAGCCAGTACGAGGACCAATTGTGTCGCAGAAATGCGACCAATGGTGCTGTTGCGATTGGCATGCCTGCCGTGCGGTTGTGCACTGAATGTGGTGTAGATTGAATGTGTTTGGGTAGGTTGAGGCCAAAAAGCTGCCTGTTGTCCCAATGCTCTGGTGTTTGAACGAAGTCGTTTGGTATCTGGGGATTTGTAGGCGTGGGATTGGGGTGTTGTTGTTGTTGGGGTGTGACGGTGGCCTGAGGTAATGTATGTGAAGAAATGCTGGGGTTTCGAGTCGTCATCGAAGATGGACTCACAAATGGGTGTTGGGGAGTGGTAGGTGTGGGGGTTGGCAGTGTGGTGGGTGATGTTGGGCCGGGAAACTGCTGGGGTGGGGGAGGGGGTGGAGGGAAAGGTGGGAAAGTGGTGTTGTGGCTGTAAGTGTGAGCTGAACCCCAAGTAGTCGGGGTTAGGGGTGAGGTGTGTGGTGGGATGTTGTGAATCCCTGGTGGTGGGGAGATCGGGTGCATTGGGGTGCTACTGGTCGAGGCTGTTTGTCGCTGCACCGTACTGATTGCTGTACCGATGATGCCTGTTGGCATTGTTGTATGCCACTGAGGCTGTGTCGGCTTGTACATGGTTGCACAATGGGGCACTACAATTGCCTGTGACTGCAAAAGCTGCACATGGAACATGCATGAGCAACATGGTTGGCTTGAGTGTCAACATCAACTTGTGCGATGCATCCAGCATGCAGCTGCATCGACTCTTCTTTGGCTCAAAAGCGGTGTCGGAGCAAATGCTTGATTGCAAACAGCTATGTGCAACGGGATTCAGGCCTGGAAGAAAATATACTCGAGAGTGAAAGGAAGACACGGAAGAAAAAGAAGAAAGCAACATCACTGAATGAGGCCGAATCCAACGATGCTGAAATGCCCCGAGTGGAATCCCCACTTCTCTGGGGTCCGCACGACACCCTTTCGCCCCACGATGAAAGCTTCTCTGTACATGTCCCGATACGTCATCTTGTAATGCTGATACTTAGTCCGTATTGTCCCGATGACGATCACTCCCTGTTGGCCCTTGGGCCGCCGTGTACATTGATCGGTAACTATATGTACCGTGCTTTCCGATACATCTCCTGGGGTCGCATTCCCGTATATGACGCAAGAGGGAATGGGTGGATAGGACTTGTCGTCGAAGCAATGGCTGACTGAACTTGGGCGGACCAAGTCCTCGCGCATTATGCGCGCGGCACTTGCAATGCTCGTGCCGTGTCCGGCGGTGTAGATGTATGTTTCCCCTGGTGGGTCGGTGGCACGAGTGCCGAATGCTCTGCGAGTCTCTCCAGCCCACGGGATGAATAACATAGTATGTACGCCGTCCGATATTGGCGTCAGCGTTGCCCCCAGTTCGTTGCACGCTGATCGCGTGCCCGACTGTAGCACGGCATGTGCAAATTCGGCTAAAGTCTCCTGCCTGAAATCGCTGTCAGCAGCTATCTCGCCCAAGGTTTTGGCGAGTTTATGTGCTTCTTCCATGTCGACAGCGTGGGGGGTCGGCTTTTCATGATCGTAAAGCTCAGAAAAAGGCGCCACATCAATCTGTGGTGGTCTGCTCTGTTTGCCCAGTTGTTCGAGGGTTGGCTGACCCGATGGGGCAGCAGTTGTGGATGCATCAAAAATCGGGGCAGGTGTCCGAATAGAGCTGGAGGGATTGTGCTGAACCTGTTGGCGAGAGGGTGTGCCCTGGCTTGTTGGGGGCTGCTGTTGTGCTGTTTGGCTGCCCTTGATGCGAAGGGCGATTCGCTGAACCTGCGAGGCCAATGTCCTTTGTGGGACCTTGGGTGGGGTAGGTGGCCTCTGACGTGGCTGTGTGGCTCTGTAATGCCACTTGTTGGCATCATCATCACGCACTGTAGAATAGCTACGGAGCACAACCGAGGTCCGCGGAGGTGTCGACAAAGATTGTCTGGTGTCCCTGCGAGAACGACTTCTGCGAGTGTCGCGGGATCGGCGGTGTCTGCGTCGGTGGTGGTGTCTCCCGCTGCTTGCCGGTCGTGCTCTGCTGCGTGTGCGACGTCGGCGCCTAGTGCTCACGGTGCGAGTTCTGCTGCGTGTGGGTGAGCGCCGTCGCCTGCGTGGCAACGGAGGATGGTGGGGAGAAGTACGTGCTGCAAACTGGTCGGTGTCTGCCGATCCCGTAGCTGGGGGTGGTTGTGTGGGTGGCAATGTGCTGACGGAAGGGGTGTTGGCTGTGTTTGTTGGTTGTTGTTGGGGAGTCATTGCCGGTGTCTGCGGGGCAATGTGTGTGGCATCGGTAGTGGGAACACTGGTGGGGTGAAGTTGTGAAGCTTGTTGAAGTGTTGTTGGCGACGGTATGTGGGGTTGTTGAGCGGGTTGTGTGGAAGGGATGTTGCAAGGTGCAGGTTGGGGTTGTGGAGCAAGTGGTGTAAAAGGAAGGTTGTATGTGGTAGGCTGGGGCTGATGCGGTGTCAGAGTTGATGGGCTCGTGGGAAAAACTGTTGGATGGGTAGGCAATAGCGCAGGGTTCAGGAAAGTGGGGGGGTGTTGTGACATGAATTGCTGGGGTGGAGGTTGTTGTGGCATCTGGGGTTGTGGTGTGCTGAGATGTGTGTATACCGTCGGATGCTGTGGAATAGGAGCAGTGTGTCCACACGGCATCATGGGGAAGCTGTGCGTCTGCTCAACAGGAATCGTAGTGGGTTGTGTCGGCAGTGTGGGCTGCGGAGTGGCAGCAATGCCAGTTGGCATCATTGCTGGGTAGCTTTGTGACTGCGGTACCCAGGTGTTCGGGTGAAATTGATTCAGCACCGGTCGGGCTGTTGGTGCATATGGTGTTGCTGGTGGCTGCGCGGCAAAATAATCCGGCCACATAGCTGCAACGAAGTGGGTGAAACAAACACAGTTGCACAAGCAAAGTGCAGGCTGTCCTGGTTGTCCCTGCTGGACTGATTTGAGAGGTCGTAGACGGAGAGAAGGAAGAGGGCCGAGTACTCTCCGAAGAGAGCGCTGTTTCACTTGCTGTAGACACTGTTACCGCGTCTGCACTCATGTCAGATGCACATGCCCTTGCAGTCCCTGAGGAATAAAGAAGTGGTAAAATACGGGGCAGACTAGAGAGGTAGCACCTGCTCACTAGACGCACTTTACTGCATTAGCCGTCCCTTACTGCACCTGCACTCATGTCAGACTCACATGCGAGCATCAGAGAGAGAGAGATAAAGTAGCATCTGGAGATTCTGAACGATCTGAACGAAGGCTGAACACCCGGTTCATCACCGGTCTCCCCGGAGGGTCACCACGGCGCCATGACGGAAAGCCGTTGCTCTGGAGTCTCATCGACCCACGCTGATCACACTGATGGATTCGGCCAAGAGTACGAGTGCAAGAGGAAAAAGAGAGGCATGTTGTTCTTGCTTGTTGTCGCATCAAACTTCAATTGTGGCAATTGAAAATCTAATCTTGGCACAGGGGCCTTCTAATCTGGCTGGCACAGGGGCCCCAGCTCAATTTTATGCAGGTACGCCAGACTGATCAGGTCTGGTATCCACCATTACGCATAGCTTCGTTGGCATGCGTTTGCGTAATGGCCGCATGCCCCCTGCAACAGTTGATTTTGTAAATGTCAAATGCCGGATTACGTTGAAAAGCGAAATTGCAAACAGTGTAGGAGTGACCCTCTGCTCCCATGTGCTAGGGAGGTTCACACACACACACACACACACACACACACACACACACACACACACACACACACACGCGCACACGCACACGCGCACACACACACACAAAGGGCTGTGCAGCTGAATCAAATCCCGTCTGAATTTGTGAGGACTTCACAGTCCTGCAGATCACCAGCCCAGAAACCATGCAAACTGGCTTGTAGTGTTGCTACGGAGCCGGGTGTTCGAAGCGGACGACTCTTGCAGGAGCTGCGGCCCGAGGTTGTCATCGTCGAGGAGGCTGCTGAGGTATTGGAAGCCCCCGGCTCAGATGCGAATGACATCTTGAAGCCTCCCTGGAGTGTGCTTCAGATTGCCCTGCGCGAGCCGGACGGGCTCAAGCTTGCACGAGCTGCGGGCAAACATCTTGCAAGCACGTGAATGCGTAGATTTTCAATTCACGGAAGGAGTACTTAGGTACACTTGTGTGAGGAAGAAGATGGACAGAGTATGTAGTCTGCTTCATGAGTGGATGTAGAAAGGTGCGAGCGCACTTGTACTGGTACACGGTGTAGGCATCTATGGAGCGAAGGAACCAATGCACCGAGACAGCAATCCAACAACGCCTCTGCTAGCCTATTTCTGTGCATGTAGGAATTCTGCAGTCAGATTGCAACACATCCACAAATGCCTGCTTGAGTGCAATCTGTATGCACTTACCCGTTGCCTAATTCGACGGTGTGTGCTGCTTCATTGCGCGACAGCATGCAAGAGAATGCCATGCAATGCAGTGCAACGTGCTACAACATCTGAAATCATGTCTAAACAGCTTTATATTGCAATGTAAGTTGCTGCCTTGTGACGCATTCTGACAGCCTCGGTGTACGCCTGTCAGGTATTATACTGTATACATGACTATGTATGGTGCGTGCTTCTTCCTTTGTAACATTGTTTGTATACTTGGCTTCGCTGTACATGTGCATGTATGTGTCTGTATATGTAGATGTATTTGTGTACATACAGAAGCAATATGTATATGCTACCTCCCCAAAATCCACCCACCCAACTTTCCGAAAGACTTTGTGTTTTTAATGTCAGGAGGACCCGCTGTTGTGTCTCATCCCCCCATGTCGATTTAGATATCTCCTACTTGTAGTTGACGCTCTTTGACAACTCATTGTATACCCTCCCCCCAGAACCCACCTTGAAAGCAGTCTTTGGTTACGAGTCAAGCTGCCATGCAGAACGTTTATGCGAGCAACCACACAAGTTGAACTCGCAGCTGCGAGACATTGCGAATCCTCAAACATTTCCGTACCCAACACGTATCCTCATAGCTGGGCAGGTTTAAACTGCCCAATGTGCTACTTACGGACAATAAGCACAGGACCTGCAACTACCAATCGCGAAAAGAGAATATTCAGGCCCCATAACTTCTATATTCGATGCTCCCAGCCAAATGCCTTTCAGAATGCGTTACACAGTCCGAGCTACGAGTCCTAAATGCCCCTCTCGAATTTCCTTCGTGATGCTGGATGCCATACTTAACTACCCAAGCCCTATGGGTCCTGCATGTCTTCGGTATTTTAATCCTGCTGGAATCTCGGCTAGAAATTCTGAGAGAGGGTGTGTCCAACTGCCAGCGAAACCTTACTGTCTATCGCCCTGTATACGCATAAACGCTACAGGAATCTACATGTAGCTTTCCCGGCAAACAGCAGCTCTTGCATACGGTCGTTTCCTACTGGCCGAGCTGAAACGTAGCAGTACAGAGCGGTCATGGATAGTGCTTAGCATGCTATCGTAGAGTCTGTAGAGCATGTCTTCGTTGTTGCACTACTAGATCGATACAAAGCATGTCACAATGAAGAGAAGACTACTAATTCTTGAGCATTCCTGCTTGTAGCGATCTCAGGGTGGAGATATGCAACGTGGAGTACTTCTCGAGCAAGGCTACCGCGTAACTAAGGAGAAACATTTCAGACCTACTCCAAGACTAGAGTTCACAGAAACGGGTCTGGACCCACATTCAATTTCCAGAGGCATCAAGGTTTGTTGAACTTCAAAATATTTCCATACTGCGCTCACGCAAAGCTTGTCCGCGCACCTGCGATATGCGATACACGGTCTATCTAGTAGTGGTTACTCTGCTTCGAGACATGAAAATGCTTCCAAGATGTAGAAAGACAGCCGATGAACAGAATCAAGATTCTGGAGCTGACGCTCACGGACTTTATCCCTCCTTTTGTGTTTGAAGAGCTGCGAAGATTAAGATGTAGACACCAAACTGAACACAGTAGAGCAACCGCAACGTGCACAATCGCATCTTCTGTGTTGATGACATTCGCGTTCGGCTGTCTTCGACCCATAAAATCCTTGTACTTTGTATGCACGGATTATGCACATATTGCGCACCAACGGGCCATTGAATTTCAATGCGGGCCCAGATTGAAGACTGATAATTGGGGGTTAGCCTGGAAAAGTTTTTCCTGAGTTTCTTCAGTGTTTCCCATCCGTCTTGCAGCGAGGCATCAGCAGCTGACTTTTTGGTGTCGCAACGGTGGCCTGACCAACCTGAGTCCAACCATCAATCCATCCACTAAGCCATTGACCAACAAACCGATCAAACGAATGCCTTTACCCGAAGGAGAGTAGCCTAGACAGCCACGATTACATATGCCACATCGAAAGGGTTGATGTGTTTCCGGAGCAATGGGTCTAGTGGTTGAGCCGAACAGCTCAAGTTTCGAGTGGATTTTCCCAAATTCACACGGCCACATAAACATGTGAGCGGCTTAGTTGGCATACATACATACATACATAAATATGTATATATATATATATATATGTGTGTGTGGGTGTATGCATATATATGTATGAATACACAGTTGCTGACAACGTACATATTAGTATCTGCATATGTAGCATCGGAGCCTCACTGGCGTAGGAATATTTCAAAGTCTGCGATCCTGGACAGACCAGCGACAAAACCGTCAAAGCATCAAACTACTGCTACATACAGCCAACCATGCAACTTTTTTATAAATGCATGCACACCCGTTTGTCCGGCTCTTTCTATGCGCTTCTCCCACTCCAACGAACAGTCAACGTGCTTGTTTCTGCGCGGTATCAGATGCGAAGGCATAGGTCCTCATGACATGTTTCCAGCGTGAGCGGTGCACCTAGTCACCTGCAAGACGACTGAGACAACGGTATGCGTATGTTGAAGGCCGAATATCCCGGAAGCTGTATAAGTGTGTACGTATCCTCGCCTCCGATCAACGACTGAGCTCCAGCCCGCTGCCAAATGCAGCAGCCCGCAACATCAATTTAGCATCAAGCACTATTGAAGTTCTGAAAATCGCATACAGAGATAGACAGAGTGGCATCGCATCATCGAGACGGCGCACACGGGTGCAGCCCCCAGTTGCCCCTACGGTCAACAGCAAGACCGCAGATGCATGCTGACTTGAAGAGTTTTCGGGTCAGTGCGACGGTCCGGCATTCCTGGCCACAGGTCATGGGTTCTGCAACTTCTGGATGCTCAGGAGATTGCGAGCAGTGCCACGACCTGAGCTCGCTAGACTGCTGCCATCTAGTTTCTCATGTGCCATCGCGTGTCGTTGCAGAGCGTGCACCAGTGCTGCGAAGCGTCAAGGCACCACGTGTGCTCGCAATGGGTCCAGCTCCCCAGGAGGAAGCGCTGTTGCTCAGAGATTTTCGATCTGTTGGATGCAAGGTGTGGTCACCTTTGCCTGATCCAGAGAGAGCGGGAGAAGGAGCAGAAAGCTGTCATGAAGACCTTCACGGTGAATGCATCTGCCTGATGCTGAGAAAGTTTCCCAAGGCTTATGTCCTGGAAGATCAGCATCCGGAGCACATGATGTGAGCTTTGGAAACACGCGGCCCACAATGAAATCATAGGTCGCTGTCGCTGGTACATTGTCTTAGGCGCAAGGTTTTCTGGCTTAGGTATACGATCAGTGTCAATAGGTACGATAAGTGTCAGCTAGCTGTGAATGTGGCCGAGTGCCGTTGCAGCGTCCTTGCGGCCTTGCTGTTGACACGTTGCTCTCACTACACTCAGAGTCGCAGAACAGAAAACACTCAGAGAAGCGTTCTTAGATGGGCGATGCGCATGCAAGTGCATGGCAAACCACAGGCCCCGGATGATGACAGTGTGGCACCAGAGTGCGGATCTCGGTTCAACAGCTTTGCCCTTCCATTGGAATGTCAGGTCAGCACGGATTGCGCAGTCGTAAGATCAACTGCACGCGGCAAGCGTTATAGACAAATCAGGGAACAAGACACAATCCACTTAATGAGCACGTCCAGTGCAGAAGGCCTAACGGGCTTAATGCCTCAAGTGGCAAGGTCCAACACTCTCTATAGTTGCGATCAGAGCATTGAGGACTTAAAAGTACAAGTACCTCGAAACTCAGCCGTGAATGCCCAAGCATACTCCAAGGAGGGCGCACCCCTCTAACATCCTCTAACTGCATGAATGCGCTGTGCAGGCCGGAAACGCGTCCTTGCTTGCGAGGTGCCGGAGCGGGTCGTGAATTCTGACCGCATGGAACATCATGGAGCCATCGCGACGGAGGTTTCGTTTCTTGCGATAAACTAAGCACCAGGACAGTCAAAGTGCAAACGCCAAAATGGCGGCTAAGCTTGGCTGGGCAGTGTGCGTGACGGGCCTGAACCTGTACTCTCCAGCATTTGATAGGCAAGCGACGTTTAGCGAGGCAAGACTGAGCCGAACTCAGCCGGCAAGAATTGGAGCGGCTGGGGCCACAGAGGTGTTACACAGAAGGCCCAGAAGACCACTGCAGAAAAAACGCACTCGCGCACTCATGGGGAAACACAAGGGTCGAACTCCGTATTGGACACAGAGTCAATGCCGTGTTTGTTTGATCAAGAGTAATTAACAAGAACACCATGAAGCGGTCAATCGCGGGCGCTTCTCTGTGCTCCTTGCATATATGATGTTCCAACAAAGTGCCGCGACAAACGTTGCAAGGTGCGGCTCACGCTTCCAAACCACCGCGGTCAAAATGGACCTGAACGGCCAATCCCTCTGTAGAGATGAACTTTACTTGTAGCCGGACAGGATGAGGGGCGAGTAATGGTGAGTAGGGAACGAGAGTGTGTTTGGTGTCAGCGTGGCCGTTGGGAAGGAGGCACAAGGGGCAGTCACAGGTCAGGCTTGCAGAATGCGAAACTGCAAAATGTGCGAAAGGTGTCTGTAGTTTGGGATCCTTCACAAACTGCGTCTGAGCATTCAATGATACAACCTGACGCTTGTTTGCATGAAACCT